AAAAATATATTCTTATTTAGAACTCTGCACACCTCAGAACAGTAATGTAGGTACATGATTCTTGCTCAAGTGAGATTTTTTGGCTCCATCAGAACTGCATGGCAGTATTCATAGCAGCTGTGCACAGTTGCACCTGGAATGATTTATCTCTGTTATTTTATTCATCAATTAATTACATCACATACTATATATTCCGCCAAAGATTTCCCAGATATTTAGGATATGTATTATTCCATGATATCCTATTAGATACCCCTGGAAACCCATCAGGAAACATGATATCCCACTGTCACACTGAACAATACCTGACTCCCATTCAAGTAGCAGCACTGCAGTGAAGAAAAAAAAATAGTCAAAATTTCCAGAAAATTATTTTAACATCTGTTTTGGAGGCACTTTTATTACTATTATTATTTTTAATTCAAATGTTGTTTTATTTATGGTTGCCTCTAAATACATGTAACATAGCATGGAGTTCAACCTTCATTATGGATTTGCTGCCTCAATAAAAAGTGGTTGCTATCCTGTTCATTATATTTGGCCTGCTTGGGGATTGCAAAAATAAATAAATTAGTAGTGCAGCTTGTGTCATCAGCACTGCAGCAAGAGGAGAAAAAGCATGCATACTGGCTGAAGGGACACCAAGACCCCCATGCCAAGTCTTGCAGCACAGCATGGCTGGATGGCTTGGCACCTGGGAGAAACAGTGCCTTTCTCAGAACTCAAACAGGAGCTGGTGAATACCTGGAGGTTTGAGCACTACAGGCTTGGCACTGTATGTCAGCAGAGCCTGTGAAGGCACTGCAAAGAAATTATATTAGTTCTACCTTTTCAAAGTAAAAATATCTGCTTTAGGATGGCTGAACAGAATTCGGCCCTTGGGATTCATAGCCTACGCAGGTTAAAGTGAGAGCTGTGCACATTAAATTGAGACTTTGAGGTAGGCCATCGCAACTTTCCTAAAATGATGTTACCCTGCAGTCACATTTTGTTTGTTTTTAATACTCTATATATTTACTGCAGGAGCTTTGATGCATGTTTTTCAGCTTGAAAGCAAAACTACTTTTATCCACTGCTTTGCAGTTTTAATGCTTTTAGCAGGCAGCTTCAAGACACAAAAATGGGCTCATAAGGCAGTGCAGCTAACAATATCCGGAGCTCTGATGGGGAAGATTTAAAAGAACACTCAAAAGGCAGAAAGGGACAGAAATCATGGCTGGGGCAACCACACACCTTGGGCTGGGGACAGGAGTAAAGCTCCTCAGTGGCAGGTTGCTCTTCGAGGTCTTGTTGGTGCTTATGTGCCTTCACTTGAAAAGCCTGGCACCAAATCAGTATCAGAGAGGTTGCTGGGCACAGTGTGTGCCACTGGAGCTGAATTGCTTCCCTTCCTAATTAGCCAAGTTCTGCCGTGCTCTATCTATTTGCATAAAGCCTTTGAAGAATTACTTCTGGGTTATAGCAGCGGGGACAAGGGAAGAGTTCTTGCACGTCCAACAGAACTTTCTGCCGCCTGCATTTATTCTGGTTTTTGTTTGTTTGCTTGTCTTTAAATTTTAACAATGCTTTTGATCTGAGCCCAAGAATTGAAACCATCACTGGGATTTTGCTGCTAGAGAGAATTATGAAACAAAATGCAACCGCAACACTTTAAATGTTGATTTAAGTGGTGTCTAGACCTCATGCTGACTTTCTGCACCAAGCTGAATTTCACAAAGAGAATGCCCCTCCTCCCCCTCCCAGAGTTGATATTAAAAGTCAATTCCCACTACTCTCACTCAACTCTGGTCCTTCTGTATAGAGAGGAATAATAGGGCTTCTGCTTTCCCACTTTTATTTGCAGTTTGGAAAAGGCCTGTGTTTAATGGAAGTGGAGGGAGCATTAAAAAAGAAGCACAAACATGTATAAGGATTTCGAGTTATTAGTTTAATTAAAGAAAGCCACAGAATGGTAGCAGTGGGAAAGGCCAAAGTCAGAGCACTGAATTTTGCGTATTCCACAGCACTGATGCTGGGTCTGAAGAAAGATTTCCTGGCCCTCCTAGAGACCACGTTATGCTCTTGTAGGCACTGTGCTGGTGCCTGATGCAGGCAACTATTTCTAATAATCACTGTTTTTATTAATGTTGACAATTAGATATTGTTGTTTTTCCTTTACCTTGGGAATTTACGACAGCATGTTGTTCATTTGTGCTCTTCTGCTTGATGGTGGAGGATGAAAAGCATCATTGAGGAAGGGTTTGAAATGCTTTCCATAATCAGAGATTGAGGACTGTGCATGGTGGAAGAAAAATGTCCAGGGGAAATGTTTTCTTAATGGAAATTCTTATTTTAGTAGGAAAATAGAAATGAACAAAGTAATGCAGTCAGGATTCCCATGCCTCTCACATCCCTGAACATCTAATAAATAGGAAGGAAGGAAATCAACTTTCTACAGGCAGATAGTTACAGGACAAGGGGGAATGGCTTTAAAGTAAAAGAGGAGAAATTTAGGTTAGATGTTAGGAAGAAATTCTTTATTCAGAGGGCAGTGCTGACCAGAGAGTGTGGGTGCCCCATCCCTGGAGGTGCTCAGGGCCCGGCTGAATGGGGCCCTGGGCCCTGATCTGGTGGGGGTCACCCAGCCCATGGCAGGGCTTGGAATTGGATGGGCTTTAAGGTCCCGTCCAACCCAAGCTATTCTAGGATTCTAAGATTCTATGTTTCTGCTGTTTATTTTGGCAACAAAGTTATCCAACCACTGTCATGTACTACACTCGATAATAATTCCAAATAAATCACTGACAGTACAGTCCTTTAGGTTGCTCTTTTCCTACTTTTATACTAGACAGCACTGCCAAAAAAAAAAAGGCACCTCTTGTGCCTGGAGCTGCTCATTAATGTAGGAAAAAAAATGAGCCAGAAGAATTTGTTGTCTAAATAGGCAACACATAGTGAAAGAGATGTTACCACACACATGCTTCAAGTAGGAAGCAAAAGGAATGCTGAGAGTAAAGGATCTGTTCAAGGCAATATGATTCTGCTGAAACTCTCCAATACAGCAACATTTCTTTCCATCACGTTTAACAGTTGTTTTCATCTATTCACTCTCAATTTTAAAGGACTGATTAGTTCCTCTTTACATTTTTTATCCATATTTTGTGTAATCCACCTAAACTGTCACGGAAAAGCTTTTTGTATCTGATGAGCAAGACAGCATCAATAAGATGAGTTTGGAGATGTAGGGAAAGTTCCACTCCAAAAAAAGAGCAGCTGGACCCAAGCCCTTCATTGCTTTTGAAGCCTTTTACTATGCACAGCAGCATGCTTTGTGCAGCTTCCATGCCTTGAAAGAGTTGGCTGTGTCCTCGTGGACAAGGAAAGCAAGATGGAATACGTGGGCTAACACCTTTTAAGAATCAAAATATGAGAAAGTCAATAAAGTATTAAACAGCACCCAGGATAACAAGTTAAGATTACTAGGTGCCATGTAACGTTTTTTTAACATATCATGAGCTGTGCACAAGGGCATATCTAAATAAAATGCATAGGAAATAGCATCACGCAAATATGATCTACATTTTTTCTTGATCAAAGAGGCTGAGGGAAAAAAATAATTAAAAAGTAAAAGCCTTATGCAATGAGATTTAAAAGAAAACTTTGGAGGCTGACAAGATGCATCTGGCACAACTTCAAAGTCCATCAAAGTACATATAATCAATGTTTGTCAATAGCAGTTTTGCATCCTTTAATTTATCTTTCATGGGTATAAAGCACGATGTTATTAGGATCCAGTCCATACCTTAATTCTGTTTGAGATTTGATGAATCAGGGCTCCATTAAAATTCAGTGCAAATCAGCTTACTCAAGGACACGTTACATAAAGTTGTGCATTATCTAACTCCTTTCATCTTGTTGTCTTTCCAACTAGTTAGAGGACCTGGTATATCTTAAACCTGCATGTGTGGCCACCAACATATTAAATCTCAAATGTGTTTTGCTTGTAGGCACCCGCTTAAAGTATATATGTGAGGCACAAGTGTCACACTATTTATTTTTTGATGTATGAAAACTACTTTATGATGCTCCAAAATGAGTGTACAATTTATTGTAGACTATTCAAGTCTTCTTAACAGAAATGTTCTTTTCCTCCTGGTGATGTAGAATGTTCTCAGCTTTATAAACATAGAGAAGAAATATTACCAAGGACTTCTATATTTCTATTATCCTTGTCCTCCATTCCTGGGCTCCAAAATATTTGGGAGAAAAAGTGTGTTTTTCACGTTCTCATAACATGAGAACAAACAAGGTCTGTACAAACAAGATCTGATCAGTATGATTTTGTTGACATTTCTGTCATAGAGGGTTGTGTTCCTGTGCTGTTTCCCTCAGCTGCCACTATTGTTGTAAATGCTTCAGTATTCACATAGAGACTGGGGATTACTCAAGAATTTCAGGTTTTATTAGAAAACAGATTCTGAGTTCTCATATCCATGGAAAAATGCTTGAGAACATGAGTCTTGGTGTTTGAAACCAGAAAATAATAAAAAAACACACTCTCATGTTTCTAAAAATTTTATATTTTATAATGAGATTCACTGCTTGTTCAAGTGGATGGGAGAAAAATCTGAGATAGAATCATAGATTGGCCTGGGTTGAGAATGACCGCAATGACCATCTAGTTTCAACCTCCCTGCTATGCGCAGGGTCACCAACCACCAGACCAGGCTGCCCAAAGCCACCTCCAGCCTGGCCTTGAATGCCTCCAGGGATGGGACACACCTGCTTTGAATGAGAATAACAGGAAAAAAAATCTAACGCAAGAAAAACAGTTAGTTTTGTCATTAGTTTATACTATTTCCAGCTTTGTTACTTGTTTGGAATACTTACCAGCAGCCAATGAGGTGGTTTTCTGCGCAGGATGCACTTGTTGAATCAGGGCAATCTGTTGAACATTAAACAATATTTGAAGTCAGTTATTTGCACTGAGTTAGCTCACCCTCAAATAATTGTGCCTTATCTGAAAAAATGTAGACAACAAGACAAAACAAATTTCAGCTCAAATAGAGCAGCATGAGGATAGTTAACGGTGCTTTGTCCCTTCAGGTTCTCCCACTGATCCTTTTCCTAGGGAACACATATGTGTCTGTGAGTATGTTTCAGTATTTCTTTTCTTGCTGGATGCCAGCCCTGTCACTTGCTGAGCCCTCCCTGGGCAGCTGGAAAGGGTGAAGAGTGGGTAATGGTATCTCCTGCCTACCTCATCCCTGGGGTGGTACAGGGATGGCACTGGGCTGAACTTTGGTCTCTCCAAGAATGGCTATCAAATGAATTTTCTTTTGAAAGAAGGTTCCTTCAAACCCCTGCTTTCTTAATGCCAATTCCTGTGTGTGCTGATTTCATATTTGCTGAAATTGATTTCCAGACATTCAGTGTTTGCATGTTTAAATGGATTCCTTTGGGAAACATGTATAGTGAGGAGCTTTATGGTGGATCTTTTTGAAGAGCTGGTTGGGTTTGCAAGCAGTGATAGTCTGCACTCATTGAGGCAGGTGTAGTTGCAGTCTGAGACAATATGAAGTCTGGTGCATATTTTCCTAGCTGGTTCTGGGCATTAGGTTGGTTCACTTGCTCTGACAATCCTTGTCTGACTTTGTTCTACACTGCACTGTAGAAAATGCAGTGCATGTCTCCCCCAGCCCCGAAAATTGATTAACACTGCTAACACACAAAAGCAATTCTGCTGTCACTGAATCGCAGCACGACAGAATATTCAGCAGGCTAGTTTTTAATAAAACATTTTTTTTTTCATAATTAATATAACAAGGTTTTCTGGCTTAGCACTTGGTGTGAATCCCAGAAAAAAAAAAGAAAGAGGGCAGTGAGTTGCTGTGATGTGACCATTGCATGGCAAATGTTACGAGGGCAATTTTTCCCCTTAATGATTTGTTTTGTAATGAAGTTATGCTGAAATAGCTCAAGCAAAAAAAGAATAGACTTTGCACACTGATGTAACTGTGGATTCCCCTCCCATACACAGCCAAATTCCTGTTTTCATCCTTCTTGCTTTTGTTCAAGGCCAGTTTTAGGAGTTTGTGTAAGTAACATTACAAAGCTACTGATGTTATATAGCAGAAGTCAAACACAGATTTAGACAGTAGCTCATACTGAGTCAGTCAAAATAGGACAGAAAAGATCTGGGACATTTATGGATCCAGAGGGTTTGGAAGACTATAAAGTAACAACTTCTGTCCGTTCTTTCATACTCTGAGGAAAAACTGATTTCACCTGCACGAATCCAAAATATTTCTATACATGGCATGAAAATGCATCATGGACGCAAGTGAGAGCAAAATTTGCTCCTGTTTTAACATATGTGTGCAACTGTACAAAATACTGCCTTTGGATGTAACTGGTCTTCCCAGTTTTCAATTTTGAGTGGGTTTTTTTTGTTTGTTTTGCTTTTAATTGCTATAGATCCTCATGGATCCACACATTGGCTCTGTATGGACAAGGACTTTTTAAAGAAATCAGTACATTACTTCTCAATAAGATGCGGCAGTAGAAATATTCCTGGTATGAAGTGCAGTGTTTTCAAGTATTCCTCCCTTTTTGCCAGAAAGAATTTCAGTGAGCTCTGCTGAAGCAGAGCTCAGACAGAGCCACTCAACTGAGCATCCTGCCTTACTCAAGCTTGCACTGAATCTTTTCTGAAATACATGTGGATTTGAATGATACACTTAAATGCCATGTCTAAAGAAATTGGCAAAAAGATGAGACTGAGCTGGAGCCCACACATTCCAGGGCAGGAGCTGCTCATGTGCTGAGCTTCCAGATAATGAAGCTCTAGACGTTTATAAATCAGCAGATGTTCAGATCAGGCTTTTCCCTCCTATCAGTGTTCCCTCCAGACTCAGCGCCACAGGCAGCAGAGAGAGAAGTGCAGGAGTCGGAGCAGCAGCTGTGGTTCTTCACTGAAAATTTTGGATCTTCAAAAAATTGATGTCTGATGGAGAGGGTGAAGAGGGTTTTAAAGTTTGCACCCATGTCCAGTCCAGTAACCAAGTGCATTTAGTATTGGAATGGAAAAGAACAAAGCATTGCATGAAGATCAAACAATTGCAAGGAAAACCTGTCAGTCCTGCCCTCAGCAGTGGGCTGGAACTGGATGATCTTTAAGGTCCGTTCCAACCTAAGACATTCTATGATTGTATAATTCTGTGGTTCTGTGATTCTATGAAAACTTCCCATTGATCCCTGTTTCCTAGCTGGCCCACAGCACGTGTGAAGCTGTTACCAGAAGCACAGGTCTTTCCGTGCCTTTAGTGTTTGGAAAACCATACGTTAGGCTGAAAAGGCCCAAAGTGTCTCTCTGACACCCTCTTATGTTAGTTTTTCTGCCCACTTGTGGATCCATTCCTGTCATAAACTCCCATTTCTTCTCTACACAACCATTCTCCCAGGACTCTCCGTTCTGCTGCATAACTACAGAGCAGAGCAAGGGCTGTCAAACCCCTCACCCTTTGCACCCCATGAGGCACAATGCCCCCCTGCAGCACCGCATCACTTTGCCTGATGCAGCAGGAAAGCGAGGAAGCCCCAGGAGTGCCTCCAGCTAATTGCACTCCGAGAGGGACACGAGTCTCTTTGGCCCCCCAAGGCAATCAGCTTATGCCCTGCAGCATGCAGGTTGATATCCCTTGTAACTAAAGGGACTTAATGACTTTGCATAAGCTTTAAGTCGAGCAGCATAACCTATGAGCCCAGCACCGGTTGCCAAAGCATTCAGTGTGACAGGGTGGGTTTGCATAACCTCCTTGGAATGGGTTTCATGCCTTTCCTTCACTCTGGCATTGCAGGCTGGTCCTGTTTTCCACCGGGGAACACACACACCTCACCCACCAGTGAGAGCAGCTTTAGAAACAGCCAGCTGCTAGCAGACCATCTCCCACAGAGTAAAGATTAACTTGGAAACTTTGATCTCTTGGAAGGCAGGAGCAGGTCATGCCTGTGCAGGGAAGCAAGCTGCCTCCTGCAGCACCTGTGAGAGCTGTGCTGTGCTTCTTTTGGGTCCTCGTGCATTTTGGATCAGATGTGACCACAGGAAGGGTCTGCAACTGAATAACCAGTAAAATCACAGAACCATTAAGGCTGGAAAAGACTACTAAGACCATCTAGTCCATCCATCAACTCATCCCCACCATGCACTAACCGTGTCCCTGAGTGATACATTTTCCCATTTCCTAAATGCCTCAAGGGATGATGATGCCATCACCTCCCTGGCTAGCATGTGCCAATTCCTCACCAGGTAAATAAAAGAAAGATGTTGTATGTAAACTTCTCTGGAAGTCCTGCCACCAGTTAATAAGGAACGTGCTGTATACTCTGGGGCAAACATTGCAGTTCAGCACACAGGCAGGAGATGGCTTGCTAGCAGAGAGGTGAAGAACTTGGGAGTTTTGGTGGAATCCTTTAAGGGAATGGTTTCCCAGGCTAAAAATACAACGTGCATTGCATGTGTGCTCCAGATGATAATATGCCCTGCTTTCATTATACCACAGCCATCGCCTTGGCTGAGTAATGTAATGTCATTGCTGGAAAAGCCATTTTGCCTTGAAGTTCAAAGACTGTCACTATCCAAGATGGTTGCAGGCAAAAATCTGGCCGATTGTAAGAGCATCAGAACCATCAATTCCCTCCTCCTTTGGCGAGGAGCCCAGACAAAGGTTCCCACTGAGAGCTGTCAGCAGGATCAAGGGGTTCCCGAGGAAAAGCAGTAGTTGTGCCTGCCCTCGTGGCTCCTCCGTGCCGGATGTCAGCTGTGGGTGGAAGCTGATCAAATAGCCTTCCTCGCTCTCCAGCACAGCCCTGTGCCACCACCTCCCCGGCTGCAAGGCTGAGATTGTGCAGAGGAAAGGGCAGACACTTGGTTTGCTGCCATGGAGGCCACTTTGCAGTGAGTTGCAGGAGAAATGCCTTGATTTAGTGCAATTAAGCAAGCAACTCATACAAGATGCAGCTGAATTTCTGAACTCCTGTAGGGCTTTATTGGGAAATACATATATGTGGAGGGGCAGTTTTCATCCCTTTGGCTCACCAGCTCAAATAATAGATACTGTTTTCTATGGAATTACTTCTGGTTTTCGCATATGTAAATTCACAGCCTAACCCTGCCTTGTAGCCTTTGTGCTGCCTGTTCCTCCACCACCTTTGTATTGTAATTATTCATCTTGATTGTAATAAGGGGTAGCAAGACACAAGCAACAATTCAACTGCGGAATGCCCTTGGCAGCTGTAAATAACCTCCCTTGAATTTAGGGTCAAATCTTCCCTTATTCTGAAAGAACTGCCAGAGAGTAACTGGACATTTTTGTCTAAGAGCTGTAGGATTCTGTCCTGAGATGTAAGAAAGCTCCCGGTTCTAGCATTCCTGTTTGAAATCTATTATATTCTATTAGCCTTTCTTAAGGAGCTGAAATGAAAAATGGAGAGCATCATATCTCTGTGGCGTTTAACCTTTGTACAAAGCCTAATTAGCAAAGTTTCAATGGTTCTTTGGAGAAATGAAGCTTCAGTGAAGTGTTAATCCCTATGATGATGACAACAACAAAGGTCAGATGAAATCAGGTATTTTGAATTTCAGCCATTAGCCCACCCTTTTTTTTAGGCACCCTATAAATTTAATCGACTCCAAATTATGAACCCAAGTAAAATGCCTCTCCTGCGTTTTTCTTTTTTGCAGGGTTTCTTTTTTAAGAGCCTAAAGTCATAAAATTTAAAACTGCTCTCCGCGAATTCTTCCAGCTTCACTCCCCCATCTCTGTGGACACGCTGCCAGCAGGATCCGGCGATTTTATTCCCTCTTGAGAAAACGCACAAAGTATCGGTGCCAGGCTGCAGAGAGCAGGCTGTTTGGTGAAACAAGCCCCACAGCCTCGTTTCTTCTCCCCCCTTTCCCCCACCCCCCCGCTTCTCCTTCTTTTGTTCGCGTCTTGCTCCCGGCTGGGCGCAGTATCGCACCTCGTTGGAAGGACAAGATCCTCCTCTGCTGGCCATGAGCAATACGGCACGGCGGCGAGGGGCCTTGCCACACTGCTGTGCTCCCCCACCAGGCCTCCATTCTCTGTTCTCCGCCTGTAGTCCCTTTCCTACACCCCCACCTGCATCCCCTCCTGCAAACCACCTCTCACGTCCCACATTCCATGTCCCCTGTTGCACCACTTGCATGCTATATTCCACTCCCCTCATTCTGCATACCCCATCCCATGTCCTCCATTCCATCTCCCTCATACTGCATCCCACCTCCCGCATTCCCCATCCCAAGTCCTCCATCCCACCTGCCATATTGGCCATCCCATGCCCTGCAGCCCCCTGCATGGCACATAGGAAAGGGCAAGTTCACGCCTGCAGGAGGGAAAGAGAGGGGCTTTTTGCTGGCCTCAACTAAGCAGCACCATAAAAAGATTCATGTATGGAACCAAAAGATGAAATTTGGCTTTGTGACAGCTAGCAGAGGTAGAGGTTGTCTGTAGCAGTGTGATCTGGTGGATACCTCAAGGGAGGAGTTAAGTCTCCTTGTTAGGAGACCAAGTCTACCTGGGATTTTATCCCCTACAATTCTGAATTACATATGGGAGGGGGAAAGAGAAACAGCACAGTGGAGCTGTGATAAAGGTTGGGTTGATCTCCTGGGAGCATTTGTTCGAAGGAACATTTGTGTTGTGTCAGCACGTAGTGGCCTTAATCCAAAACTAAGAATGCAAATCTAGGGCTTAGCCACCCTGAAGTACAAAGGAGTAATGGATGCTGATGGAAACCTGTATATTTTCCAGGGCAGCAGGTTATTGCAAGAGGGAAGTCAGGTCATCTTGCTGTCTTGTAAGCAGCTCTGTCCATGGGAGAAGGTTTGGAGGGAGACAGGTTTGAGGAAAATAGTAGTAATAATTGGAATAATAATGTGCTTAGGCTCCATTCCTTCTCTTCTTTACATCTAAGCAACAATGCATGCATATCTCATATAGCCCATGCTGGCACTTTGCCCTTCCCAGGCAGAGTAAATGGCTGCCCTGAGTGCAGGGGAGTTTTAGCAGTCTCCTTGAAGTCAAAAGATTCTGCCCGCAGACGCACTCAGCAAATGACACAAAGGAGAAGTATGGAAAGCTGAGGAGGGAAACAAGGTGCAGGTACACAGAGGTTGCACCGTAAAGCATAGAAACCAAGCAGAAAAAACCCCACTCCCTGCCTCCAGGGGGTCGTGAGCAGGCCTCAGGCAACCTCAGGTGCATGTGCTGGGGGAAGCAGCAGGTGTGAGTTGTTCTGAGTAACGTGGCAAGGTTCTTATTCACTGCTGCTTATTCATTTGCTCCCAGTTGCAGCCAGGTTTTAGCTAAGAATGTTGGCATAGCAGCTCCATGTAATTTCTTATATGTCTACTGCTAGCACAGGTGCCCTCACTGCAGCTGGGTAGTCCTGTCTTCAGCTGGGATTTACAGCAAAATGGGATGCCTGCTGACACCTCTGTGTGGGGAAATGAATCTTGATGTGGTTTTGGTACGTTTTCTTTCTGCTTCACTTGCTCCTCAAAGGCTGAAATGCTGTTTTCTTCCTCCTCCTATTCCCTTTTGTCATTTGACCTTAATCAGGAGCCAAAAAGGAAAGGCTGGAGCCCCATGTCAGAGGGTGAACGTATGGCATTTCCTCGTGGGAAGGATGTGCCCTGGTAGCTGGCTGCATTGCTGGTAGATAAATGCCATCACTTAATAAGCAAAGAAGTAATTAACTTACTTAGGATCAGTGTTTTACAAGCAGACTGCAACTTTGGCTGGATGCTTAGAGAATCTGGAGTTCCCCTGTGGGTTGTTGAGAGCAATATGGTTTTATCAGAAAAGCCACATAAATCTGAAAGGACTCTTAAAAGTACTGCTTGGGCATCTCTGGAGTGGGCAATGGATTTATCTGGACGTCCAGCACTGTAGTGAAGTCACCTAATTACAGGTTGTACCATAAGCCAAGACCCAGCTTGGATTTTTTTCCAGAAACTGACTCTGCCCTTCTTTATCCTGCGCAGCCTTCCTGGTCCTTCCTGACCAACCTGCTGAATGGTAAGTAGCTTTGATTTCTTCCATTAAATTCTGCATATGAGCCTGAGATGTTGGCAGCCTGGTCCATCGAGCTCCATGGCTGTTGAGTTTTAACTTCATGCGCAGCTTTGTAGCACTTAAGGCAACAGCTGAGATCAAATAGGAAGTTATTGTGCTTTGGACAGGCAGCATGGTCTGCACTCCCAGGCCTTCCTGCTTCTCACATTGGTGCAAAAGGCAACTATGTCATTTTGTTGTCAATTTGGTCCAACCTGTGAGTCTTGTGGCCCTATATCCATAAAGCTCTGGTTCTTTCCCCAGATTAATTCTGCTCTCCTTATAGAATGTTCCAGATCAGTATTTAGTTTCCACATCCTCAGCTGCAACTAAAAACGGGCTATTTTACTGTAGTGAAACAGCCCCAAAGCTCTTTGAAAGGAGTGAGGGTTTGGCTGTTCGCTGTTCTTATTCCTTTTGCAATTTCTTTCTGAAGTCATAAATGCTCTCAGCCAAAGCTTTTGTGGAAGGGAGGAAATACCAAGAGGTCTATGTAGAAGCAAGCGGGAGACCTACTGGTATTTGAAGTACCATTGCAATTTCAGCTTCATAAAAATAACTTTGTATTATTCACAGACCCTCAGACAGAAAGTATTTAGAGAGGTGGCAGGAAAACTCATCCTGCTTAAATTAGGCCAGATTTCAGTTCGTCCCCAGAGGTTCAGAGAGCTTGAATAAATGCCGGGTGCCCTCAGTGTTGGCAATAAGCTTTAAATTTGCACATCACTCATCTCGACAACTGCAGTCCACCAAAGTTACCTTTCCATTCGGGTCACTCGATGGCATCCTAATGCATCACTTTCCCACTTGGAACATTAGTCATGACTTGATCCAGGCAAGGTTTTGAAAACAGTGTGACTGCCAGCATTGAGATATCTGTTCTCCCTATAAGAGATAATCTGTGTAAGCTAACGAACAAGAGGATATTGATCAGAAATCCATTACGTGATTGACAGCTCTTGGCAATGTGAAAAAGTGCAGATGAAAGCTTGAGCAGTTTAAAAGATCACCCAGACCTCAAAGCTGATTTGAAGCTTTAAAAGTCAATCTCTTGCCTATCAATTATGGGGGGATTTTTTTTTTTTTTTTTTTGTACTACACAGAAGAAAGTTATTCTTTGAAAATTTGCATGCAGGATGTCTAATTTAATTTCGTGTAATAGTCACATTTTGGTGACAAATGTCAGATCACTGCTTTTTAAAGCATGTCAAGGTTTTCCAGCACTTACAGAGAATGAGCACTCTGATTTAGTAATGTGTTTAAATCAACCAGTGTATCAGATTTGGTGTGTTAATTATGTACTCAGATTAAAAAAAAAATGTTGCTTTTGCTTTACTAAATCCAGGGCTTGTTATGAATAATTAAAAAAAAAAAAAAAAAAAGGAATGGGAACACTTCTTAAGTAAGAGATGTGGAAGCCAAATAGTTATTTAGTGATATAGCAGTGATAAACAGGAAGACATCTCTGTTTGATGTACCCAAGTCAGGGGAGTCTGTTCTTTATTCTTATGGTGCTTAATAAATGATTGATTCATTGCTAAGTGATGGTACCAACACAGCAAAATGAAGCGACAGTATCATCATTTCTGGAGCACTGTCCTTACAGTTGTAGATGTTTCTGCAATGGCTTCGCTGTCTGTGCTTGTTTGGAGCACTTGTTTTTCCTCTGTCAATTCAGCAAAGCCCTTGCGCTCCCTGTACCGCATGCTGGGCATGTCTGCTGGGTGCTCTCAGCAGCCCCAACTCCTCCGCTCATCCTTCACAACTTTTACCAGCTATGTCTTTTAGAGAAGAAAGATAGAAAAAAGGCTACCCTGTCTCTCCGAATAGCTCCTTAAAGCACCTGTGGAACAAAAGCTGACGTTTCCTGCTAAGATTCTGAAAATAAACAGGGGAAACAAAACCAGGCTCCTCCACAATATTCCCTCAAACTCGAGTCCGCCTGCAGAATCTCCCCTCAGACGAAGTGAGCTTGCAGGTTGCATTTCAGGCAAAACCTTCTTTTTGTTTTCCTTTCTTAACTACATCGCATTAAATTTAATTTTGTTCACGGTAGACAATGTCCTTATCTTCCAACGAGATCCTTCTGTTCCTCAGCACAGCGCACACTTCTGCAACACTTGCACACTGTCGAGACTCTGCTCCTGTGGAAATAATGAGCTGAGTAAAAGGAGTCTTGACTTGACATAGCAATAAATGAGGTGAAACTTTTCTTTTTTTTTTTTTTGTGAGAAACGAGAGTTGGCATGTAGGAAGGGGGGAAAAAAAAAAAAAAAGAAGAAAAAAAAGATGATTCTATTTTAATATGAAATATAAAACACCCATTGTACAAAAGTGGAATTTTTTTATTTTTTTTTCAGAAGCAAAGAAAGAATAAAGATAAAGGCTGCGAGGGAATGAATGAGGAGAGAAAGCTAAGATAATGTAGTCGATAATCAGTTCAAGGCTGAGCTTTATCCATGGGGCCATCGGTCCGGCCCTAGGGGAGAGCTTTTTAAAATCTCTGCACACTGTTTAGCTGTGCTCATTATCATAGCTTGTCTTTGACATGTCAGCGGGGCTTCTATGGGTAGCAGTGTGCCCATGCAAATCAGCTGCCCCAAACATGGACTGGTGGAGCTCCAGGCTCTCCATCAAGCAAGCATGTGCTTTGTGGCACGTCCCCCAGCACAGTGGGGATGTTGCTCCCTCAAAGAGGCTCTGAGCAAGACAAAGGAGGCCTCTTCTTGTAGAGTTGCCTCTTCCCAGGACTCTTAGAATCATGAAATCGTTAAGATTGGAAAGGACACCTAAGATCTTCACATCCAGCTGTCCACCTACCATCAATATTCACAAAACCATGTCCCTAAGTACCACATCTCCATGTTTCTCAAAAACGATGGTGACTTTGCCATCTCTTTGAGCAGCCTGTGTCAGTGTCTCACCATTCTTTCAGAGATGTTTTTCCTAATATTCAGCCTGAATCTCCCTGGTGCAACTTGAGACCATTCCCTCTCAGCAAATTGGGCTCGTCCATGTCTGCGTGGACATTACCACCAACTGAACAAAGAACAGCCATGTCCCCTCCCAGCACCTCAGTAGATGCTCCCAGCTGGGGGCAGTCATGCACAAAGGTGGCTTTGTAGCAATTATAACCCTTCTGCATTTCCTTTCCCTACAGATGAGGCTGATGAGTATTACGAGTACTATGATGAATACACGCAGGTGGAGGAGGAACCCTCTGAAGTGATTAGGCTCTTGGGGGAACCTGACTGGATAGGCCTATCCCCTCACCACAGAAGAATCCAGCAAGGTGCTCCTGGGGGTGGACAGGGGGTGAGGAAGGGGTGAAATCCCAGCCCCAGTATGCAGTGTGTGGCAGGGCTCGGCTGCCAGCCTGCCTGCAGAACGCCTGCTTCAAAGGGATGAGTGGGGAGGGTTGTTTGCTGTGTTCTCTTTTGTGTTTCTCTTGTAAGGAGCCTGTGTTTTATCTCTAGGTTTCACAGGATGGATTCTGATCATGCAGAACATTTCTGATTGCTACTACAAAAAAACACAGGCTTATTTGTCTATAGACACTGTAAGACGTAATTGCTATTTTCATGGGATGTACGTTCTGTATTCGTGCTGGGAACCAAATGTAGAGCAGGTTTCCCTTTTTCTTTTTTTTTCTTTTTTTTTCCTTTTTCTAGTTTACTGAACTTTAGGAGAGCAGGAAAGTATGCCCTGGGCTGCTGTGGGATCACAGGGGGAGAGGTGGGACAGCAATAACCCTTCTCCTCTGGATGGCTTTTCCAAGGGAGTTTTAGTGCTAGGTTGCAACCAGTGCAATACCATGTCTAGGCAACTTCACAGCAATGGCACAGAGGCACGTAACCAGTGCAAGCTCTGGTTCTTAACGGATCTGCTTCTAGTACGATGTCACATGTGCTCCATCACAGGCTTGTAAAGGGAGATGGGAATTCCTGGGCTCTAAGCCTTACAGCGTACAGGAAGTTCCACAGCAATCCATAGCAGCTCGTGCCACTGCTGGGCCAGCCATCAGCACAAGCCTGTGTTACGGTGGATGCTTGCCCAACTTTCTGCACAGCCCTATGGTGGCACCTGTCACACAAAAAGCACACACAAGAAAAAATGCTGGTGAGAAGCTGAAGGAAAACTAAAAGCCCTCTGTCCCTTCCCTAGAAGATCTGTGCACCCCCAACCCCTGCAAGAACAACGGCCGATGTGAGATGAGAGGAAGCAATTTCACCTGCCTCTGCTCCAGGCCCTACACTGGGGATACCTGTGAGAAAGGTAATCACTTCTTTGCTGACTGATATTCTTGTTCTCACAGCTGAGGCAACTGAAGCAAGTACAGGGTTTTATAAACCCACTCTTCCCTGGAGGGAGAGATTTAGCAACCCTCTTCAGCCGTGTCAATAGATCCAGGCTGGAGTCTGTCTAAAGCAGCATCAGCATCACACACTTCAGGTGTGCAGAAAGCACACTTCTGTCTTCTGCCACCCCATGGCAGCCTCCAAAGGAGGGCTACAAGGATGGTGAAGAATCTGTCGGACAAGGTGTGTGAGCTTTGCTCAGCCCAGAGCAGAGGAGGCTGAGGGGTGTCCTCATGGTGGCCCACTGCTCTTCAAGGGGGGTGGATCAGCAGTGTGGAGCTCTGCTCTCTGGTGACAGTGACAGGGCCTGAGAGAATGGCATGGAGCTGTGTCTGGGGAGGGGTAGGTGCAGAGTAAGTAAAGGCTCTGCACCAGAGGGTAATGAGCAAGGAACAGGCTGCCCCGGGCAGCAGGCATGGCACCTAGCTGCTGGAGTTCAAGAAGCATTTATTTGGACAACACTCTCAGACATACGATGTGATTTTTGGGTGGACTCAATCCTTGGTTTCTTCCAACTCGGGATTTTCTATCATTCTCTGGGTCAGGAGAATCAGCCTGTGAGGGCACAGCACTCCTGCATGTGGATGAAGTTTTTTTTTTTTTTTTTGTTTACCTGCAGTGGAGGACACCTGTGTGGACAACAGCTGTGTTGGAGGAGACTGCCTTGTTACATTAACCAAACCTTACTATCGGTGCAGCTGTAGCCATCCCTACAAGTTACCAGACTGCCAGCAAGGTGAGTGCAGCTCAGCAGGCACAGATCCCACATTGTGGGGTGCTGTAGTCCTGAGCCTGTGTTGGCTGCAGGTCCCATCTGCAGGGATGATGCTGGGTGATCCGTGCTCTGTGTGATGGGTGGATCACTAATGAACCCCATGCTGGCAGGAATTTTGAAGTTCTTACAAGGCTAAATGAGGGCTTTCCCTGATTTTCAGTGGGGATGTGAATGAGGCTATAGTGTGTCCAGTGGAGTTACAGTGCTGTTCTCTCATTTTCACCTTGACAGCTTCTTCACAATGCAGGCCAAACCCATGCAAAAATGGAGGAATCTGTATACGGCACAGAATGAGAACAAAATTCACCTGCAAGTGCCCTGAACCTTACCGAGGGAGGTTCTGTGAGATTGGTAAGTGTTGTGGGAGAGGCTAGGGGTTGAACCTCCACAGATTGTCCTCACCTCAGAGTCAGCTTGATGACGTTTGTAACATAACACTGATTGCTCTATGTTGCAGGTGACCTTTGCACCATTCTCCATACAGTTTAGGATTATAACCCTGCAACCTTACTTTTGGCACACCCCTTGCCCTATCGTGACAGTAGCTCTGTACCCAGCTCTGCCTCATCCCTCCAGTACCATTTATTGCATAGGTCACCAGAGAAGAGATTCTGCTTTGTCATTGAGAAATGTCTTAGCTGCTAGGTCTTACCCAGTAAAGAGGCTTTGGGCACTTGAAGTCAGTGGAACTTATGCTGCAGTGATGTTGGGACATAACTCATTTCTGGCCTATCCAGGATAAGAACTATCTTCATGTAACCCTGTTGGTCCTTCTGATCCTTTGTGAAATTAATGTTAGGGAAGGAAGAGAGGGAAAAAGAACCAGTTTAGGCAAGGAATGACAGAGAAGGCTCTTTCATATCAACATGGTTTTACAGGACCGGATGATTGTTATGAAGAGGACTCCTTTTATTACAGAGGAAGAGTGAACCAAGCAGAGAATGGCAGGACTTGCCTGCACTGGAATTCCCATTTGCTCTTAGACTTCCCTACTAATGCATTTATGGAGGATGCTGAGCTTTTTGGCATTGGGGAACATAACTTCTGCAGGTAACATTTTTAAGAGAGCCAGTTGTGTCACATAGATCTTTGAATACAAATTGCTCCCATGAATTTGCTAAAATCATGATATTAAAATGGCATTGTTACTGAAGATTCCAGAAACAGGCCTAATTTCCTTTGTTTTTCTTAGGGTGAAATAGTTTGGGGACGGTAAAATGGCAGCAGATACAACTCCATTATTTTAGGAATTGTCTTTATCAAATCTTATGAAGAGTATCTCTTGCAGCTTGGCTGTCCTGTAGAAGCACAAGTGTGCTCTTATTAGCATTCTTGGCTTCCTTGTGCAGCTTCAAGGAGATTTCTGCACTTTGGCTGATGTTCTCAACCATTCCTTTCAGAAATCCTGATGATGATCAAAAGCCCTGGTGCTTCATCAGAAAAAATGGCAAAGTGAAATGGGACTTCTGTGATGTCTCACTGTGCTCTGAGACAGGTAGAGTAATGCTTTAGGAGAGAGCTGGTTGGCCATGCACAGGTGGTCCTGATGAGCAGGTCACTGCCTGTTACTTAACTCCTGTCTGATATTATTTCTGCAGTGCACGTTGCTGTTTCTTCCAACACAGATAAGGAGAACCAAGAGCAAGAAAATGAAATGTTCAAAACCTGTGGGCAACCAGAAAGTCAAAGGGGACTCAAGAGAATCTATGGTGGAACTAAAACTACAGCTGGCAAGCACCCCTGGATGGTATCTCTGCAGAGAAAGTCTTCTTCTAGAAAAGTAACACACATCTGTGGTGGAGTGCTAATTAAATCATGCTGGGTTCTTACTGCTGCACACTGTGTTGAGTATGTGCATGTCCTTTGCCTGGGGCAGATAAACATATGAAAAACAAAGTGGCCATTAAAGACAACTTGGAATTGAACTGATTCACATTCCAAATTGTTTCTGGGTATTGAAACGAAAACATACGTGAAAATATGCACATACATTTTAAAAAATGGTGCTTGTTGGAATTACAAATTAAACTTACATCCCAGTCAACTAAAATGATCTAAAACATAGTTTAGTGAACAAACAATGGTGGTGGGTGGGCTGTTGCACTAGATGATCTTGGAAGTCTTTTCCAAACTTGGTCATTCTATGATTCACTCATCATCACAGCTGCAATAATAGACTATTTGCATGCTGCTGTTCTCCTTCAAAATAAATTTTAAAAATTAAATGTTAAAAAACTAGGTTAAAAAAAAAAAAAAAGCAGCAATAAAAATGTTCATGCAGCATTAATAATGTTTTATTTCATGATTGCAACTATTTAAGAGTGCATGGACTGTCCAGCACTGCAGCTTTCTCTTCTAAGCTCTCTTATTACTAACTTTGGAAATCTTGCCATTGTGCCTTGCATCAGGAAACAGTATCTTGGCTTCCAGATAGTTAAGCTGCAGGTTTTCACCACTGTTGCACAACATCTGTTCTGCACCACCACAATGGATAATGTAGTTTACTTGACTCTTCGCAGATGCCAAGCAGAAAATCTCCAAGTGGCCCTGGGAAAGCAAAACCTCGATAGGAAAGAAGATCAAGAGCAAATATTTGATGTGGAGAAGGTCATCATGCATCACAGATACAGAATGGAGGATGATGTCCCATACAATGATATTGGTAAAGTCTTCTTATTTAATGAGTTGTCTGAAAGCACCTCGCTGGAACTGAGGTCAGTATAAAATACCCCTCTGAGAATGTGAACTGGAAATAAGTAGGCCACGTTCTGGCTTACACCCCTGTGAATCATAGAAGGAAGGCAAATCATGATGGGCAGAGAAAAATCATGTGTGGGGGGAGTAAAAAAAATAAAGGGACAGGTTCAGCATGTAGTACAAGCTGTATGCCAGTTGCTTGGAGCCTTGCACAGAGTTGTGGTACGGACTGACAGTGATGGTAGGGATTAAAACCAGTTTCAAATATTTTTTGTGGTGGTTTTTCTTGTCTCCAGCATTACTGAAGTTGAAGCCAACTGGTGGTCAATGTGCCATCGAAACAAAGTATGTGAAAACAGCTTGTCTGCCAGATTTTGAGTTTCCTGTTGGGACTGATTGCTTCATTTCAGGATGGGGCGAGACAGAGACAGGTATGTGAGCTCTCAAGGCTTGCTGTAGTTTGGCCGGTAGCTCGATGGCAGTGTGAGCTGGTGCTTTTAGTGGCAATTGCTAGACACAAATGCAGGGCTAAGCACAGAGTGAAACCAAGGCCCAGAGTTAAAAATTAAGGACAGCAAACCCTCCTTTGGGAATGATTTATTGGCAGAAGCCTCCAACTGCTAGACACACAGAACTTGTCAGAGTTCTGAAGAAGTCCCCAACATGTATTTTGTTGTTGTTGTTGTTTGTCATCTGATAACACAATGTCATGGTTTCATCTGGAGCCAGCCACTGAAGCAAGATGTATCAAGAGAGAAGCTATAGTACTCTTATGTTCCAAGAGAGGACCAAGGCAGACTGGCATTTCCACGTGCTTTTCCAGCCCATTGGGTCAGATAAGTTTTTCAGAAGCAGCATCTGGATCTTCAGATGCACTGAAAAAATAATAAAAAATCCAAAGCTTTTCAAGTTCAACTAGCTCTGTCCGAAACCTTTCTTGCCCACAGTAAATCCTGAGGGGAGAAATTACTATGCTTTAGAAAAGATAATGGCAATTTTCTGAAAAATGCATTTTCTCATGTCCTGATTGATGTGTTGCTGTAAAGCAGCAGAAGGAAAATGTGTCACTGAGGCTGCAGTAGGTGTCCTAGTGCTTTGTGACTGATACAGCCTGATACAGTACGTAGGGCCAAATTCTTCCTTCTGATGTAAGTCTCATTGAAGTCCACAAGAGACAAGCGGGTATATTTGATCAGAAAGCACGAACAGAATTTAATAGACATTTTTTAAAAGTTCCAAATAAAAAGTATCTTAAAAAGGATACAGAGAATTTTTGTATTATTTTTTTTTTCCTGCAAAGAATATCAAGTACCCTGTACGTGTTCAAACTAGATGATGGCTCCTTTTTTGCACAGAGCTATTATTAGCATTTCAGGAAATCACTGCAGAAATGGAAAATTTCCTGAAACTCAAGCAGAACCAAACTTATAAACCATCTTTAGTTATCTACAGATGGTAGTGCTTTGATACTCTGGCTTTCGCCTTTAGATGTCAAGTTATGTCTTTAGATTCACTGTAATTAATCGTTGCCTTTAAATATTGCATGATTTTCAGTTTTCATCTGTTTCATTAGCCCACGTATTAAAACATCTAATGGCACCAGCCTGAGAAGTGCTGAGCAGCTCTAAGTACTCCTGCACTTAGTAGTGGGAGCTGCAGACGGCCAGCACCTTTGAAAAGCAGGATATCATTGCTACGTGCAGAGCTGATCTGAGCCAGATTCTCGATGTGTGTGACTTTGGTTCTGTTCAGGCAAGAGCTCAGTGTCCTGCATGAAGCTTTCAGGCTCAGACTTAATGCAGACAGATACTTCTTTTCTTTCCAGGCTAGACAATGAGCCCCTTCCTGCTCTTTGCCCCTTCCATCCATGAGGCGAGCAAATTTGTGTTTTGAAAAAAGACATGTAACAGGAATGTGAGGGAGGTGACTTAATTTTTTCGGTGTACTGCCTTGCAGATGACACGTCCCCTAAGCTGTTAGATGCCAGTGTCAAGCTGATTTCGCAGAAGCAATGCAATGCACCCAGAGCTTATGATCAGAGGCTGGATGAAAGCATGTTTTGTGCAGGAAATCTTCGGAGAGGTAGAACTGATTCTTGTCAGGTCTGTTGCGTTTTCCATATTTGAACACTAATTTTTTGTGTAAATAGGCTGTGCAGAGCAAAAGCTCTGGCAGGGGACTGCATGTGTGTCCGTTTCTTCCATCAGTGTATTATTTCAACAGCCACTGTCTTCCTTCCATACAGTTTGAGATGTATATCCCTGGAGCTAATGTCATCACTGTCAGCTACAGGCAGATATTTGGGAGCTCAAGAATAGCCTGGGAAAGGTGGCTTCTGAGGCAGATTGTCATAGTAACTTTGAAAACTTGCCTTTTTCCTCTCACTTCTATTACAGCCTCTATTATGAGAAACAATTCTAATCTGATTTTTGCTACCAGAGCTTATCCTTACTAGAGAAGGCAGGACTGATATTTCCTTGTAGCTAGTGAAAATGTGAAGCTGGTTCATGTAAGCCTGGTGAGGAGTTTGAACAGTGCTTCCTGTGGTGAAAACTGCAAGCATACTTACTTACACTAGAAATCACCAATAGAACTGAAAATGAGATCAGCCAACTTGGAGTGATAATTGTCATTATTTGAGGGGACCAGTGTGAGGAAGGTCAGGTGTTTTCTTTTATGCTGAGGATCACGTTTTTATCTTTCTCAGCTCAGGCTCTGAACACCTGGTACTTCCATGCCTGGGAAATTTCATTTGACTTTTTCAGATACATTTTGCAGCCTTAAACAGAAACTTATGTCTAAAGAAGTCTAGTATTGTTTGACCTGGTTCCAGTACTGCAAGCTGGCTTGGGAATTGATCAGAACCTTTTGCTACACCTGCTAGGAGAAAAAAAAAAAACAACAAACACCACTCCTGCCTCTAAGTCTTTTGATAAGAGAAGGCAAATCTTACATTGGTGAATGATTCACTTCTTATTTTAAACTAATCTTGTGTTTTTTCTCATCAGGGAGACTCTGGAGGTCCTCTAACTTGCGTAGAAAATGGTTTCTATTATGTATATGGCATTGTGAGCTGGGGTGATCAGTGTGGTTTAAAAAACAAGCCAGGAGTTTATACCCAGGTGACATCATTTCTCCGTTGGATTAAACACAAAATTCAAACTGAGTCATCGGATCAGTAGCTGACAGCTTTCATTTGGTGAAGGGTAAGTTTGAGATATTTATTTGTTCTTAGCCTTACACAAAATTCCCCTTTAGCCAAAGTTGTTATTGAAGGCTTCTCATGGTCCTACCTGGGCATTCTGGATCACCATCTTAAAAATAACCTTTCAGTGTTTTCTAGAAGCTCAGTGACAATTTTTCTGCTGGGGGCTTTGAAATAAACCCTCCTTTTGTAGGCAAAACAGTTTGGAAACTAAAGCAATACCAATTTTTATCCACCTCAAAGCCATTGGTTTGTGCTCTGAAAGCCAATGACATTTTTTCACGTACTTAAAATTAATAATTTGCCTGTGTTTGGAAGACTGGAGCCATTAGAATCATGTGAGCAGGGAAGATCAGGCGGGAAAATTATTTTTAAAAGCCCTTCTGTAGGGCAAGTGATCCTAAATTCCATCAGTGATGAGTTCCAGGTTGAGAAGTAAAAAATAAAGTAAATCACTAGTAGAAATATCTTATTTACTTCTTTTAGGAGTAATCCTTCTTTTAGGAGGATTACATATTATTCTCCAGCTCTACCATGGCATATATGTGCTTAACTTCAATTCATATGTAGAGGGTATTAAATTAAAAAAATAAATAAATAAATCTAAATCTATTGGCTAATTTTTGTTGTTAACAAGTTTTGCAAGTAGAATTATATATTTTTCTGCCCAATGATTCTGTAACTCTATATAGAAAACTGGAGAACAAGGGATTGACATTAAATCAGAATACAAAAAGTAGACATGTTTGCCAGCAGAGTCAATTATTTAAAATAATATCTCCTTCATCTGAATACCAGGCTTTATAAACTTCTCTAAGAAGCTTCCTAATCTGTCAATAAGCTGTTAGTAGTAGTTTCTAAGGAGCTGATTTTGATTATTTTTGTTTTTCTTTTGGAAGATTTGAGAAAAGAAAACAAACGAACAAAAAACCAACCTGAATGGGATGTGAATATGTCCTGTTAATCAAGAATAAATTCTGTTCTGTTGTCCACCAACAGACGTGTCTTTGGTTAGTCAGTAACTTTGTGTCCACTGGCTGTTGTCTTCTTCATCTGTTAAGCCACCCAAATCTTGTCTTTGTATTCTCTTAAATCAGCAGTGCCAATGATACACATAAACATACACAGTGGTGCCACAGAACATATAAATCTCTAAAGACTAGAACTATGGAACCAGATTCATCAAATTTATTCAATACAAATGATTTTATGTTCTACTAATGAGGTTCATTCATCTGTAGTACAAAGCTGAGCCTGCCAGTCATCTAGTATTAATTTCATTTACAGCTTTAAATAAATATCAACCTCTGTAATGCATATAGTGATAAATCACAAAATATCCACACAAGTTAGAAACATCAATTATTAGTTGCAATGTCTAGTTTGTTTTTTAAAACAAAAAATTCTTAGATGTCATCTGTTGTGCTTTCCAGAAAAATGGAAAAGCTATAGGCTTTGTAGGATAAGATGAAAATCTATTTGTGTTTTGTCATGTTCCTGTTCACTACTTGTACAGATGCATTTTTCTTCTCTTGACTTGCAGAATTTCCGAAGCATCAGGATTAACTGTGACCTGCTGAGATCCTTCCAGCCCCACTTGGTCCTGTAAGATCAAACACAACTACATCATAAAGATAGCTGAAAGCAGAAAGCTAAGATCTTATTCCATAAATATATTTACTAATTAAAAGTTACCTCGACTGGAAACAACTGGACAAAGTCTGAATTACTGCTCTGTACTGAGACAATCTCTGCCATGGAAAAGTGTGGATAGCTGACCCATTCATGTCAAATATCCAAGGACAGGATGTGCTCGGTGCCTAATTTCTAATTTGAGCATTAAATAATGAATGCATTAGCAAACACCTGAGTTGCAGATGTATTGCACACCTGTAGATTTCTCTGGTACCATCAGATCATCACTGCATGTAAGACTTAAGAATATACTGCAGACTGCATTGCTCGTCCATAGTTAAACTTTATTTCCTCAGTAGCTTTAGAGATGGGAATGTAAATCATGGATTTGTCCTGTTTCTCTTACAGGGGCTTATTGTTTGACTTTTAACACTTAAACAAATCAAGTATTAAAAGCACACATAGCTCTTCTTATACTGTAATCTAACATTCCTTAACTATAGGGGCTACATTACAAGATCCCTGTATGGACTTTTGCTCTCTTACACAGGGACATAGCAGAATTGAAGCCACCTTGTGGAGGTAAAGGACAAGGAAAACCTGGAAAAAAATTGCTTGTAATTTCTTGTGTTTTGAGATGAGTGGAGGAGACCATAGTACATGTTATGGTGTCAAGAGTCTACAGGGAGACTGTCAATACAGCTGTCAGGGGAGAGTACAGGGTAACAAAGTGTGTCTTGCTGAAATTAGGAAAAGAAAAGGGAGTTGTGCCAGGTGTCCCTTCCACCTGCACTTTTGCTCTCTGTGGGTAGACCACTTAGAGATCTGACAATATCCAAGGTCAAGGGAAACACACCCTGTAGTTTAAGAAAATCCTATCCTGTGGCACTTTTAGTCCCTACAGGAATTCCTCAGCTATAACAGATCGGAATTCCCTTGTGAGGTTCCTTCAAATTGAAGCCTACAAAAAGACACAAAGCTTGGGGAGGGAATCACATATATTCTGTTTAAAGTAAGGGGGAGAACTGTAATCTCCAGGGAGCATTAAACAGGCTGTGTGCCTAGCTGCCTTCTCGAGAGCACAACTGTAGCTATTTGAGAAGAATGGTTACTTACAGCTTCAGGTCCGTACTGAGCAGAAGCAGCCTGCAACCCCATTTCCCGAAGGTACGCCAGCTCAGCAGCTCTTCTTGCCCTTTCCACTTTATAAGAACCTGGGGGAGTCCAGCCGATGCCTCTGAGCCAGTTCAAGTCAGACTTGTATTTTACCTAAGAGAAACATACAATAGTATGTATTACTATTAACCACATGCTCTGTGTTTTCAAGAGAAAGAGAGAGTATACAAAGAGGAACAGGGTTAATAGTGAACAAATTGTTTTGTGGGTTTTTTGCGTTTTGTTTGTTTTTTTTTTTTCAGTCTGTAGTTGTTTTAAGAATGATTTTGTTGATAAATTAGGTCTGTGATGACACTGCCACCCAGATAGCTCTTAGCACTGGGAAGGAGAGTGCCTCTCAGTTGTACTTACATCACTCTGCAGCTTGTAGGCCTGCTTTGCGTGTTTCACATTTAGCTGCTCAGGATCACAAGTGTATTGGTGCAAGGGTTGCTTGTAGTTAACATTGCTGGCAAGCTGCTGGCTTCTCTTAGCATGGAGGAACCCTGGCTGGTTAAGGTGACTCTGAAAATGTGCTCTGTTTTGGGTGTATCCACTCCTGTATAGGTTGTCACTCTGGAGTTTTCCCACTCTGAGGACATGTCCGATGTGGGCATCACCATCTGCATTGAAGAATCCAATCATGTGGCCTCTGTCTCGCAGGAAGGCTTCTCTGTATTTGTACTGAGAAAGATGCAGAGAAAAGTATAATTTTCACATTCAGATTATCTTCAAATTCCATTATGAAACAACACATCCTCCCCTAGCTTTTAGTAATGTTTTTTGTGTTGCACAGAGACCACAGGTTTGTTTGATATCAAAATACATCTCCTAATCTAATATGACACTACAGGAGAATGACCTTGATGTTAATTTTTAAGGGACTGGAACAAATGGGGCCCAAAGTAATCCTCTCTCAAAAGTAACCAGAAGTCTTATTCTGTACTAAGTAAACATCTCAAGCATGCAGCTCTTCCATATTCAGCTTTCCTGCTGACTGAGGTCTTCTGTGTTCAAAGGTGACCCACTTTATTCTAGCTCATGCCTGACTATTCATAGCCTGGTACCTAGTTTATGTAACTACAATACAAAAAATGAAACAGAGCAGCTTGGTATTGGACATTATCAATGAGAGCCTATAGTTGGAAATCTTCGTATTTAAATGGCATTTACTTCACTGGTTACCAATTTTCACACACACACACACAGACACAAAGTTTCCTTTTGTCTTATTCACCCATTTTTGCAGAGTGGGGGTGGCATGGGAATAAGATTGGGAAGTGTTTGAAGAAGAGCAATTCTTACATCACTAGCAATCTCTCTTGAAGCCTTTGCTGTCTGGAATGGAATGGCGTCAATCCTAAAATCATAGCCAGATGCTCTTGTCTGTTCCCAAGATGTTTTATACGCTTTCTGTGTTGAAAAGAAAAGAACAAAACAGTCATTTCCCCCTTGCAGTTTCTTAAGTGTAGTCCCATGACTGTAATAATAAATGTTTTATCCTACTGGGCTTGTTTGTTTCAAGAGTCATCAGTACCATCTCCAAGGTTTTGATCCAGTTCTACAGCCCTTCAACTTGTTTTCTATTCCCCATAACGATAAAATGTCTCATCTGAAAAATGCCACTAGGGTTTCCTTTTGTACATGAATGTCGTTGTTTCTGATTGGGTTTAATTTATATTAGAAACTGTGATGCATCAGTCACATCAATATTGCATTGATATTACTCTTATTCTCTCTTTTGATGCATGCACTTGCAGTGTCTTGGGTTTCATGGCATCATAATTTCAGTACTAGTTAGTTCAAGCTTTTCTAATGATTCCTGTCTCTATTTCATAGCCACATGTGGCTTCATTAATTCATCTGAAATAACAACCAGTTCTAACATATTTAATGTGACTTTGTGGGTGTGAAATACATTTACATCTTGAAGAGAAATTTCTCTAGATTTGGCTCTTCTTTCTTTAGTAGCATTCTTACGACAGCTTCCAGTCCTACTACCCAGCTGTTGCACCTTAGCAGATACTTTTGGCTGTCCCTTTCTGATTTTATTGATTGGTTTTCTGGAAGACTTTGATCCATCCTTTTGAAGGTTTGAAATTATATGAGGAAAACAGCACGATATCTATTTCATATTTCAAAAAATATTCTCATGTTTCACTGATGGATTTAGTGCCAGCTGATGCTTAATTTGAAAGTAAATTAAGATGCTAGAAGTCCTGCCAGAACCAGTAGCCTGGATAGAACCAATGCAAACATTAAGAGATGTTTTGTTAATAGGTTTAGGGCTGATCTTTTGTTTGTGTACAATCACCCCTTTGCCACGTTATTTTTTTTCATCTGTCACATCAAAGAACTTAAATCCTATTTCTTTCTTGTACATATAGAAGACCTACCAACAAATGAGAAACTAAAAACTTTTTTCAAACTAAGATCACTCTGACCCTGCAGCTAAAGATGACAAATTTGATCATAACTATTAGCAACAGACCGTGTGCCACTGTATGAAGTAAAGTGGAAAAAAGATCTCTTTAAACCAATTCCACTCAATGATTCATTTGCACTCTATCAGTAAGGACTGTGCCTAAGGGATCAGTTCAATGCAACATTGCAGCTTCATGAAGATAGATCATACAGTCAAGGAAAGAGAGGGATTCTCTCTCTGCCTCATCAAATGTAAGAAAAAAGATTTATATTTATAAGAAATTATACCTAAACTTTAGGACTGAAATGTTTAATAATAGCTTCTTGTCCTAGGAAGCAGAACTAATTTTTAAAAGAAAAATAAACAATTTTTCCTGATCCCTCCCTCTCAGGCCAAGCAGCATATTGGCAGTCCACAAGCTCTGCCTTTTTCAGTTCAAAGAACCTGACTTCTACACCTTCATGAAAGCTTTTCATTTCCAAGCAAATTTGTTTTCTTTAATGACTGTTATGAACTCAACTCCTCAAAGTAAAATCTTACTTACATCACTGATATGAAGTGCATTCTGGCGAGCTCGGATAAAATCTGGATGATCAGGAGGCAGGGTATACCTGTGCCTGGCTTCAGAGTCTCCAGCCTTGTACAGCCTCTGAGGAGTCAAAAGACATTGAATGCAACTGATTCTGGAAGTGAGGTCAATTCTTTACTGCCTTTAGCACAACAAAAGTTAAGATCATTTATAGTCATACGAAACCTACGTCATTGCACTGCAGGTAGCTATGTTTAGCATGAATCAAATCAGGAGAGTCAACCACAGCGGTGAACTTCAAACTTCCTGGCTTCTGACGGTACTTGGTCTGGAGGAGCCAAAACAACAAACAAATACACACACAGAAGATGCTTCTGTTAGATGATATTGTGATTCCAGGTGTGCTATAATTGGAGTAAATCACCAAAATCACCTTCCTGAAGCCACAGTAATAAAAACATACTGTTTTGCTTAAGTCTTATTTGCTCTTTCAGCTGTTGAACAAGGATATCACTGTCTCATTGCTGTAATTCTGAATAACCATCCTTTTTTTTTTTTAATGTAAGGACTTTGCACTGAAAATTCATATTATAATTTATGAACACTGCATTTTTGGCAGCTTATCATTTTCTTCCATTAATTCGTGATACCAAGCAGACTAATGCACCCTCATTGTGACTGTCAATGCTGTATCTTTCTATATCACTTCCATAAGGACCTGCTTAGAATTTCATAATAGAATTTACTGCATTTATTTATTGCTACGTGTTTTGTTTATACTCTTGTGATTCATTCGGAATGGAAAATATTCAGCAGGTGTCACACAGTGGACTTGCATCTCCTGTACTGCTTCTTGGTAACTTATACCTTGTATAAACAGGCTCCCACATCAAAAGGAAATGATAAGCTACATTCGTAAGTGTCATGTAACGAGGAGCCTTGATGGTAAACAATTCCTACAGACGTGCTAACCCATGAAAGATTTATCAGTTACCTCACTGATGAGCTCGCCAGCCTTCTTTACGCTTTCTATCTGCGGAGATCTCAGAGCCATCCAGCCAACTCCTTTCATGAAGTTCAGGTCTGATTTATAGCGATGCTGTTGAAAATGAAAATCGT